TCAGGAGAAAGATCAACGCTCGAATGGGTGGAATGAAAATCGAAGTGAAATAGTTATTTGAAAGGAATTATAGCAGATTATTACAGATAACGGACGACAACAATGAAAGAGAGAAGAGGGAACGCCAATGAAACACCAATGAAAACCTTTTCGAATTTGCAAAGAAATTGTTTTCCTAATCAAGTGCCACATTTCCATCACTGTAGCAACTCCTGACTTGCTATAACATACTAAGGATGCTCACCAGGTCTCCGTGATGGGAACTATTAGGTACCCTGGCATTCTAATGACCGGTTCTCTTCATTTTCACTGTATGCTGCAAACAGTGACCTAATAACCATGATATATGTGTACAACGCTTGCCTAGCTACAATTGGTTCCTCTTTGGTGCCTCCGGACACAGAGTGCAATGAGTTTTACGACCACAATCCTCTTCTCGAGATTGCAAGTTGCATCTTATGTGGAATCTCCATATCATTGCATGTCCTGCTGAAATGTACGCTGAAGCGTTACTGTTAAGACCTGCGATTATTGAAGGTCTCAACTATACCCATGGTTGAGTCCTGTTCGTAGTGCCATTGATTACGGGGTTTTTGCTCATGAAATTTGTTTGTCCTACAGGATTCACTGATGTTTAGGTATATTTGAGGCCTGCATTCTGATTACTTTCGACTTAGATTCTAAGCCGTCTTTGGGGTGAAACTGGTATTATCACATCGTGTCCAATCCTTGTGAACGGTCATTGATACAGGCGCGATAGAGGCAGAGGATCTGGAATCAGTTGAAACACGGGTCTTTAAACCAAGCACTCAGTGTTTGAGCGCAACAAAGAAAGAAATTGGACATCTATTCAAGCTCTCCGTCACAGTGACGTGCGGTTAACCTTGAAGTGTTCGTCCCACGGCACAAGAGCATTGTTTGTCGACACGGGGAATTCCATGTGCAGGTTTGAATTTGAGATGATGAATACCTGGAACGAGTTCAACGGTTATCCGCAAGGATGACAGTTATACAACAAGGAAACACCTATGAAGCCTAACGGTTTTTCGAGGTCTTTATCTTGGTACATTCTCACTCTCCTCCTCTCTGAATTTCTCTCTCTCTCTCTGGCTCCTCTCACTAACCTGGCTTGCTTCCTCCGCCTAGTCAGCGAGAACTATATCAGAATTTCCACAACAAAGAAGGACGGAATCAGAGAAGATCCGATGGAAATGTCTGAGGATTGCCAATGGCTTATCGGGCATCAAGTTGGATTATCTGTTCTAACTGGTTCCATATGAGAGTATAGTAAGACAGCCTAACGTGACATAGGAACCAATCTGGGTTGCGAATCCAGTCCCAAGTTAGCTGAAGTCCAGCGCTTTGTTCAACGCGGATGAGTTCGCTGTGCAGCCGATTACCCGAATCAGTGTTAGATTGCAGCAGAAATAATGCTTTTAAAGAAGCACTAAATGAATATTGGACAGCTGTATTCCCTGAGGTAGATTTTTGGGTTTTGAACCAGTTTCAAATCAACATCGAAGAAATGGCATATTGAAGTGTTGAAAGTCGAGGTAACTTACCGTGTCATGCAAATAACGGACCTAAATATTATCCTTCATGATGTTGACTTCAAGCGCAGTGACCAGATCAAGGCGGCTTTGTCGTCGATGAGGACACTGATCATTTATCTCTCTATAACACAATGATTAAATCGCAGACGGAACATCGGATCTAGGTTTAGGCACTCTATTAATAGAAGGATATTCATTAAGTTGATGAGGTGCAAGGGATGGTTAATTGGATTATCTTCAATCATAAGGCGAATGGGACCATACAACTCTAAAGCTTTCCTCCATGTCGAACTTACTACGAGGTGATTTAATTGAATGAAACCTTGAGGACAATGAAGGCTTTGAGAGGTTAGTCGCCAGACAGGACCATTATCCGACGAACGTAACCTTCGAAACTTCTGTAAGTCCATTATGTGTATCTTCATTTTTCTAATATTCGCACATTACCACTAGAGCAAAACCACCGTTTCGTCGGAGAAACAAGCTGGACGCTTGGTTTCTGAAAATGTCTACCGTTCTGTTTAAACTGACCTCGGGTCATAATTCGTCTTGGAATAAGTTAACTGAACTAATGAGGGAAATGCAAAAGCTAGAGGTTGTAATATACAAGCGGTCTTCAAACAGCAACGAATCCTTCAGGCCGAAACTAAATTACGTGCTGCGGAAACTGGATGTAACAGCGATAGTATAATCAAAGTATAGCGAAACATGCTGAAAGAAACGCAGAGGTCTAGTTTTAAGATTGTCCAATTCTAATCGCACTTGGTTACAGCATCTCTCATATTCTTACGGAGGATAATCTAAATGTCCCAGACCGTCTGAGTCTGAGTCCAACACGATTCAACACTCAGTATTCGAAGTATTCGCACCTACGTTCGTTACTATCCTCGGACGAGTGTGCGGAGTGTAGAATTCCGTCTTACCGGCACCATTATAACACGGTAGTACTCGATGAACAAGCAAATGATGAGTGAGTGAGACAAATCCGCAGACGAGTGGATTAGATTCATGCAGATGTAACCCTACCTGAGCTAACCATCCGTTATCCTTCAAAAGACAATGAAGATGAATGTATACTTTATTCATTGGAAGTTATTTAATTGTTGGATGCAACAGGTTTTCAGTTTGAACTGATTTCTCACCAGTGATATGCTTGCAAGCAGCTGACGACTGAAAAAGAAAATACCGATTGTTGTCAGTGAGAGTTGGGATAAGAATTCAAGACAAGGATTGTGAATGATTTGCGGTGTTGTAGATAAATCTGCAAAATTCGGAAGCATTCAGTGAGAAAGAAGAAAATGTCTCACCTTCGCCGGAAGTTAGTTTCAGGGGCAAAGCGAGATCGTCTGAAATCCCATGAGAAAACGAGAGATGGTTAATTAGCTCCAGGGATAATCGGTCAGCCTCGTAGTATAACAATAATGTGGCAGTACATTCGAAGTTGGTAAATAAATCTGGACAATTTGTTACGTTCTACGTTGGACATGAATTGCCGACTTACTTTACACACCTCAACGTCTTCAATCAGTTTGAGTTGGTTGAGTGAGACCTCCAGGAGACCTCCGAACAGATCACTCAACTGCGCGCATTAAGAGAAGAGCAGAGAACAGTATGGAAATCGCGTTCTAATACAGGGTTTTTGGGCTTTCACCACCTCTGTGGCTCCTACTTTTGTTCACAAGTGCAATAAGTCACAATACATGAGGCTTGAAAATACCGAATTGTGATGAGCAAAAGAGAAGGAACAAGCTCCTATTCATAGCCAGACCTCGGTCAACGGGTATCGAAAATAATCTCGAAAGTTGTCACCAAATGGCATTCAGCTGGAAAACGCTAAACGCATCGTTTGTCGCGTTAACGCTTTCCAATCGCAGTCACGTAATTGCGCATACAGGAAGATGAATGATAACCAGGGACCAGTATTTCTTGTACATATTCGTCATGTACTTATGAGTGCTTCTTGGTCATATCTGGTATATTCATCGAGCATCGTATATCTCTGGACTTAAATGTCCTCCGAATTTCCTCGGGCTACCGTAACCACCACTGTACGCTTAAACATGAACTAGATAACTACCGCGAACTTAACCTCGTCACTGGTCATATCCATGAAGGTAACGAAAATTCGTATTCACACCACAACATTAAATTCCACACTGCAGTCGCTCGGTGATCGTTGATCCCAGCAAATATTGGTATTGCATTTTCCACATTGCTATCAATCACTTGTTATTAATAAATGATAGAGATGAAAGCAATACAAGCTTGAATTTTGTGCAACAAGGCTGGATTGGGTCTGATGTGCGAGTAAGTCTATGCTTTCCATCTCAGTTTCGATAAAGGGACTCACACTCACCAGAGTATTGACCACCGGGATAGGACTGCATAGCACTTGAATGAATTGTTTCCCCATGTTGATCGTGTTTGCGCTGGTCAACCAGGTTTTCAGAGTGCCCACAGTCAGTTTGCAGATGTCACACTTATTGACTAGTTTTGAAAGGCAGAAGGTGATTAAGATGAGTGGGGAAAACATTGGTTATCGCTCACCATTCCAAAAAGAAGTAGGAACATGTATCCGCATATAATCATGTATGATGTGTATCTTATCAGCAGTTAACAGGCTTAGTTTTGTTATGCGCGTATCCACTCAGCACAACCCGATGTAAAATTTATACACTGATTACAATAAAACACATTGGCTGTTTATGAGCAACCGGATCGTTTTATTGAGATTTTCGTAAATGGGACTTCAGAGTGATCCGGAATAAGTATTGAGAAAACGAGGCGACAGTGTGAACTCAGGAGGATGCGGATAGATTCCCTGGACACTGGATAAGAGATAGACTACTGATTGACCTTTGAAATGACTCTGTCTAATGGTAAGTAGTAGTGAGATTGCTACAATGATCCCCATCGTGCCAGTGACAGAACAGTATGGGTAGTACTTTAAGCTCCTTTCTGAGAACGTCACAATTTGGCTGACCCAATTCGGTTCTCTGTGCCGTATTTCAAAGCATTAGTGGACGACTGTTTGTTCTATATCTGTTCCAACCACATCCTAATGCACGCATATTTATTGTCATTATTTGTCACACATCTGCTCACTCCATTTATAGAGCTGTATTAGGCCGAGGAAGCATTAATCGAGGCGAGCTTNCTTTCGTGAATTGAATTGTGTATGTACATCTGGTCCACAGCCAATTAATGTGCGGTTTACACAAAATGAGATTGAAACATTTGCTACAGAATGGTTGCCTCTGTCTGTTATTCGTAAAACGGATTACAGAATTTACGCTGAAAGTGACAGAAAGTTAGCTGTGCAATCCCTCGAGACGTTTAATTTCTTTCTTTAGTCCGAGTATTCCGCTGTGAGTAAGATGAATGTGATGGACGTCAATGGAACAGCACTCTTTCGAAAAACATCACCGTTCTCGTGCAATGCATGTTTTAGTGATCAATATTGCTGTTGGCGTACACAATCAACTCACTGTTATCCAATTCCTCCGGTTCGTATGTCTGATTACGAGGGCACAGTCGCATGGACTGCGGGGAAAGAAAGCAACAGTTCTGTTAGGTTATCACCTAGAAATTTCGATGATAGAGCAATTGTGCCACATTACTCGTCATGCAAGTGATTATGCTCAATGAAGCAGTCGTGTTTTACAACTAAAATTCGTATATACAGGGCCAAATATTCAGTACCAGTCGAATTCACGAACTAGTTTGCCTGTTGGTTTATCCCCTTTTAGAATGAAACATGACAAACCAGAACTATTTGACGTGTTTATTTTATTGGACAATAGGGATTGAAATTCGCTAACCCCGAGTGCCTTCTTAATGTGACAACTCAGCACGTAGACAAATTAGATTGGTTTTCAAGGTGAATCGATTCACGAATGGTGCTGTTTACGCCGGTCAGTTATTTCATGCAATGAATGTGTCCAATGTTCATGGTCCTTGTGATTTCTCAAACGCGAAGCCTAACAGTACATGCATGGATGACTGTCTTTATATATCCTTCCGTACGTTCAAGCTATGTCATAGTGTAGTTGTTCCTCGTATTCTTCTAGTCATCACTGGTCTCAATGGATATCACATAGAGCAGAGAAATCGGTGACAACGTGTGTAATGTATGGTTCAGCCTGTTGCCGTAAATGGAGGCCAAACGTTTTCGTTAGCACGATACCGCAGTACTTCACTTTCTGATATCAGAATTGCTTTTCTTGTTCTTGTTCATGAGGCTGGTCGACTGAGGGCATATACAGTGGTATTTAGACGGCATCCGCATGCATCGGTTATACGTATTCACCATATAGCGATAACCACACCCATGTGACAACACGGACTAAACCCTTCATACACCAGAGGAGGTCGTTCATTTGTGACAGTGATCAAGGGTAACCAGATTTCAACACAGTGCTTTTCAACCACGTGTCCGAACCTTATCAATAACACCGCATTAATTCACCAACTGATTGTCAGATCTAGTTGCACAGTGAATTCTTTCTGATTATTCTTCATTTCTCGTCAGTCTTTGCTTTGATTCTTATCGGTAGTTCGCATATCTGACCGAGAATGGAGTGTACATATTCTGTCCAACATATCCTTATATTCTGTGTCCAGTTCATACTAATCAATTCATTCGGTTATATTGATTGTAATATTGTTGGAATGTGATCTGATTCACAATTAGAAGTTCATATCAAATTATTGAATTAAGTCCTGAATAATGAGTAGTCTAGTGGATAATTACTCACGCTCTTATAATTGTGATAGGTCATCCAGTGTTTGATTTAATTTCATGTAACATAAGTTAGTTAATAAGGAGTTTTTAAACTCTACAATATTGTGTAGAACTCACTTGACAAAATCGGTGTGGCTTGACCAAAGTAGACAGTGTTTTCAGAAACTGATTCAAATTGGCCCGTGTGAAACGTTGACACTAAAAAGAAGTATGAAAATATCAGAGGTTATAAATATGTAGCAAACAGTGATTCAGAACGAGGTGAAGCAGAAACCCTGTGCAAATGAATTCATACCTGGTATAGATGTTCTCGACATTTGGTAATTCAATAATGTGTAACCGAACTATTGCAAATATCTCACTGACAGTAGAAAGTTAAAATCCATTTGATTTGGAGGCCTAAATTCATTCACGGAAAACCCGTCCACAGTATGAACATGGGTACACTTGATATACTTCACCCGGATCCCATGACCACAATGAGCCAATGAAAGTGCAATATTCATTTGAAATTGGGAGAGTGGAAACTATTCCCAACGCACACAAGGGCGGTACAATCAACCAGACTCACTCTCCGGACCAGTTGGGGTCCGGGAAGAAGACGGCACATCCTTTCCGCCATAAATTCAACTTCCAGTCGAACTTCACGACTGGCTAGAATTTGACGTATAAATTTGAAAAATTCCTTGCACCCATCACAATCTGGAATAAAAAGAAAATCAAAGTCAGTGATTTTTCGATAGTTATTTGTTGGCTGCTCCGCATGATTTGTCAATCGATATCTGACAACAGGCTATGAGCACATTGCCGAAGAAACTGATGAGATATAGGAAATGTGAGATGTGAGTTATCTGTTCTCGGGAATTGTAGATAAACTGGAATGACTGTGTTCATCTGTTATGGAACGACCTGCAGAAAATCCTCACTCCTCGATATCCGCGAGATTTCCCAACAAGCAAGCATTCTACTTTCGAGATCGGAGAATGAATCTCCACTTCTGCGGCTAACAATAGCCACATGAATTTGACGTGGTTCGTTTCTTGTGGTGGACTTGAGAGGGGATTTCATCATATCAAATACGCATGATGAGTGTATGGAATTTGATCAATAATTAATTATCGGGAGAAATGACTCCCCAAGCTATAAGCTATAAACTATAAGCATATTTTCATTCCCTAAATTTATCTCAATCCGAAGTGTGATATTGACTGAGCCAAATGAAACATGCTTGAATAAAATTATTGATATAAATTATACTAATAGTAGGATAGAAATGTGTGGCCTTGATACAATCAAACGAAAGAATCTTGAATAAATTTATTGAGATCAATCACAATGATTGAATGGACTAAACAACAGTCGAGTTTTTCTTCATCGAGAAATAGCTTACCATTCACGAGTTCACCTGCGTCATCTGACAACGAGATTTCCTGTGAACAAAAACGCGAATGTGAGTGAGGTTATTGGATGTATCCGGGAGAAACTGAGCAAAATAGGTAACAACATACGTCTCTGTCTCTCTCTCTCTCTCACTCTACATATGAACATCACGCACCTGAGAATTCGCAAATAGCACCGTGGCGAACAAGAAGTACAAAACAACTGACTTCAAGTACATGCTGATCTGTGTTCAATTGTGGTTTATTTGAGCTACAGTAACACGGTACGCGTATATATGCATTCGAATGGACAAAGCATGTGAGAGAGATATCAACTATGAAGGAAATATGTAGAACTGAGTAATCACTGATTCTGTTTTCGCAATTACATTGATTGATATCAAACTTTGTAACGGACTAATGTTTTGATCGAGTTGTTTATCTGTCTTAAACTAACCTTTGATTACCAGTCTAAGGTTCAACAGTAACTGAAGACTATCAAGGAGGTCGTGGAAAATAAGTTGATAACGCTCCAAAGATCACGAAAGCGGTGATGTTGTTGTCGAGGCATTGTGGCACGGAAGATACATCCGACATATCTTGTGAGATCTAAGGACGAATTCAGTTTATCCACGTTGAAGTGTTTAAGTTCCAGCGAAGAGGCAATCAGCTAGAAGGACAATACGGAACACGAGTACCAGGATGTGGTTTCTTAGGTTGCGCAAGACCTGTCAGATAGCCAATCCTAGAGTTGTACGACTATGCAGTAGCCTTTGATCGAGACAAGTGACTAGCACACATTCTTGTTTCTTCCCTCAAGGATCTCACATGCAATATGTGAAGTGGATTTTTGAAATGCGAGGCTTCTTCATGTACCTCGTCATACACGGCCGGTACCCATTGGTGACAGCGTATCACACATGAGGTCGACACTACCGGAATCCCGAATGATGTCGAAGTGCTTTTCAGCTTTATTCCGTCTATGCGATGTATTGCAAACGTGATATCGCAGACTGTGTAATTCCTTGATGATGAATGTTTACCAGTAGAAATGGACGGATAAGGTAGAATTTGCCTTAATGTGATCAGAACTGCAGTGGATTAGATTTGTGAACCAATGGAGTCATCTGAACACATTATACAAATCCTGATTGAGGGAACCACGGAAACCTTTAAGGAGACTACCATCATCGAGTCAATTGCCTACACACAAACGAAGAATTGTACTTCGTCTTTTGCTGAAGCTAGTTTGTACATTTTTCGTTCTTGAAACTTATCAATTTTTTTCACCCCGATTAGCCTGTGTGACTATTACAGGAAGCATCTGACAAAGAGTGTCGGTGCAGATTGCTGAATTTCACGCAAACCGATTGTTTCTGTTAACCCTGAATTGATTGACACATGCATTTGTACCTTTTCGTTGCATTGGTGTCAAAACTCACGGGAAGATCTAGATATTCTCACTGTAAACAGAAGTCTAAGTGATCATGATGATAAAGACCAGAAAAGAACCGTAGGTCAGCGAAAAGCTCAATTCCGTCAATGATGTGTACATGTTTCATATTGGCAATCATTGCTATCGATCCATGACTAGATTGATGCTGCGGCTGTGTCAAATTATTCAAATTAATTGCCTCTGGGGTTTATTCTTTGTTTTTCGCAAGCCCGTTTGCTACACATGATCTTCACGAACCATAGTGAAGTTGGATGTGTTCTGAAACCTTTGCTCCAAAGGACGATTAGCCTCTGCAAAGAGAACAGCAATGAATACAGTTCCGTAAATTAGGAGCCGATCTTTCTCCTTCACTCATGTAAGCTAAGCAAAATGAACAGTATAAGTAGGTCGATCAACTTCCTTTCAATCCGTTCATCTGTTCCCTGCAATTTATTCGATCACAAAATCCGACCGTTTACAGAGGATCCAACGTGTATCACACTTAGTGATTAGTCGTTCCAAGCTTGAACTGTGTATTTCGAATGACTCTCTTTGTACACCGGATTGTTCTGCTTCGTGAATTGCGTTTCGGTTATGAAAGGCCACAACGTACAGAAATTCCAAATCATGTCAAGGAGGGAAGATATGAGACATTTTCCGTAACGTTTTGGGCATGTATGTGTGTGTGTGAGAAGTAGTAGTTCGATCGGTACGAACAAAGCACAATTCCTGGCCACGAGCAAATTTTTCTCACAAGAGAAGCAGTATATGACATACAAACAGGGCGATACGATTGCGAATTACCTGCTACAAAATTGCGCTGATCGTCGTTTCCAACACCAGGACTAGCACTCTTCACCCTAGTTTTGGCAATACATTCTGCACCACAAACCATTGGATCTGTGGGTTCACTTATTTTTGTTAGATAGAAAATTGTGCAGATGAATTTCGCAGAAGGAAAGATCGGTGACGGGTCGCTTTGAAACTGGGAGGGAGTGGCAAAGAGTAAACAGAAAAATCTCCATTATTGGTGGCTCTGAAAGAAATGTATAATATTGGTTCCCCTCGTATGTAACAATCGATGACATTGCTTCAGAAATGATGGAAACATGTTCCAGGAATCGTTCAAACTACTTAAATAAAGAACACAGCAGCAGCACAGTGTTGCACAATTTATTTCCGGAAAAATTTTGCTGTATCTACAGTCAAACAAAATAACGAAAACTAACAAGGATGAGCTGTTAGTGTTGTCTGCGTCCATCTTTCTGCCAAGTTAGGGCTAAAGTTACAAATAACTCTTTCTGCTTGCACTGAACAGTAGTTCAGGCTTCCATCGGTTTATGGCAATCGCCTCTGCAAACTGGAGCAACCGAGAGTTTTGCGTGATGAAGACACTTTTAAATGCTGCGGTCACGTTCACTTGATGCCCAGTCTCTAGCACGTGACGAGCGATCGATGACGCTGATGTGTGTGGGTTGACCTTTGACCTTGATCATTCGGGTGTGATCCGTTCACCAGTTTGTTGACCCTTTGTCTAAGCTGCCGCTGGGTTTTGCCTAGGTAAGTGACCGAGCACCCACAGACGAATTGGTACAGTTGATTGGATTTGGCTTACTGCGGGGGCGGTTGCTTGACTGGAGGAGGCGGTATTCTGTCACATGGGTAGACGAAAACTGGTTTGGCTGTGTTGAATGTTCGTTTGATGGATGAGCTTAGGCGGTGCTCCAACAAAATACTTACATCACCACCCTTGAACGGTAGCTGCAGGACAGCCTTACTCCAGTTTGCAGAGGCGATTGCCATAAACCGATGGAAGCCTGAACTACTGTTCAGTGCAAGCAGAAAGAGTTATTTGTAACTCTAGCCCTAACTTGGTGGAAAGATGGACGCAGATAACACTAACAGCTCATCCGCGGTAAATGTTACTTGTTAGTTTTCATTATTTTTTTGATTGCAGTATTTACCTGAAGAGACACAACGAAATTTTTCCGGAAATAAATTGTGCAACACTGTGCTGCTGTGTTCTTTATTCTAGTTCATATCGGGAAAAGTCTGTTTCAATTTCCTCAAAAAGCGTTCAAACTACGTCAAACTGCCCGTTCAAAGGATATCGCTATAGTCGTTGGACAGTTCAATGCTCAGTTCTAATCCCTGGAAGAATGCAAAAGGTACCCAGGCGGTGAATACGCAATCCACAGCAACCAGACGGATAACGGAGTTCGCTAACTTCAGCTTTGAAGAGACTACAGATTGTCCATATGCTTGATAGGGGCAATCTGTAG